ACCAGGTACTTTCCTAAACTCTAGGCACCCCCCACAGCCCGCCATGCATTACATGATCCCCTCAAGCCCTGGGCACCCCTCCCCACGCTCCCAAGATCCCCAGGCAACACATCCTTCAGCTTCCACCCTCGCACCCACCACGTAGAAGCCATAGAGGTTGTGCAGGTCGCGATGCTCCCAGCCACCGTGATGCACCGTGTCCTTGTGCATTGTCACCTCGGGGCCATTGAACACAGATGGCTCGTTCATATCATTCCATGTGTACAGGTTCTCTGATGAGAGACACAGGGATGTAGCCCCCCCCTCCCACTTCCCAGTCCCAACCCCAGCCCAGCCCCCGTGTACCTCGTACTGGTCGTAGGCAAACATGCCCCCAGCGTAGCCCCCGTGTACCTCGTACTGGTCGTAGGCAAACATGCTGGCCCACCAGGCACGCATCTCGGGGTTGGTGAAGTCAGGATACCCTGCAGAGCCTAGGGAAGGGAAGGGAAATCAGGGACACACCAGGAAACTGACTGCCCCCCACTCCTTCCAGCCCCAGGGCCCCGACACAGCCTCCAGCCCCCCACGACGCACCAGGCCAGCACCAGCCCTCGTAGTCGCTGCCGTCCTTGGTCTTGACGTAGAAGCCACGGGAGCGGATCTCGTTGTGGATCCGGTAGCCGGTGTCCACCTTGATGTGGGGGTCCACGATGCTAACCATCTGAGGAGCGGGGCAGAGCCATGGCTGGGACCATGTGTAGGGGACACACACACGTACAACCCCCCCCACCCCCAGCAGCCACAACCCATCATGCCATGGGGCTGAGGGGGCTCTCACCTTATGTGAAATGTCCCAGCTTGCTGCAGCCTGAGACCTTGCAACCCCAGAGAACTGGGTGCCCATCAAGCCACAGGGCTGAAAAGGGGGGGTCTCTGACCTTGTGGCCCTTGGCAGCTAGATATCCCAGCATGCCCTGGGGCTGGGATGGGCGGTGGGGAAGCAGCCTCTGATCTTGGGGAGTCTCTGACCGTGCCGCCCTTGGCCACTAGATATCCCAGCATGCCGCGGGGCTGGGAAGCGGAGGCGGCGGGTGGTCTCTGACCTGGGATCAGGAGTTTCTGATCTTGTGGCTCTTGACCGCTAGTTATTTCATGTGCTGTGGGAATGGGGGGGCCCTCTCACCTGGGTTTGGGGGGGGG